GTAATATTCATTTTAATTGTTCGCTGTGTCGACATTCCTCAAGTGAAGTGGTTTCTAGTATTTTGTAAAGTTCTTTATTTTATTGTTTTTTTTTTTTATTTTGTAGATTTTCGAACAAGCCTGGTCGTAAGTCTTACAAGGTTCATTCACTCATTGATCTAAGACAGCGATTGTGTACATATGAGAGTTTACATAGTTCTGAACGGATTGGGCGCTATGCATGACACCTATATGAAAGTTTTAATCTGACGAGGGTATTCAAGAACAGGGTTTTGTTTTGGTTTTGTAGCATCTTGCGGTATTGTGTGAAACTATCCCTATCGCAATATATTCTATATTCAATATCTTTTTCTCCTAAACTAAATACACTGACGTATTTGAGATTTGAGACATCTATCATTTACTAATTCAGTTATGTTCCACGCGTGATACACGCTTAGGCGATCATGTATCTTTTGATACATGACCGACGAGGCATATTTTTCCCGCAGTAGGTTGCCATTTCTTTCTGCGGTAGACCAGTTGCTATCCAAGGCTATAGAACCTGGTCTGTCCTGCTATTTACCCATAGTAGGGCAAATAGCAAAAGAGAAGAAGGGGATTCAAGGATATTAGCATGTAATAGATTCGACTGGTAAAAAGTAGAGTCCAATAAAAACCTCGGATAATACCAGTAAGATATATTTAATCATTTGTAAGTCACATCGATTCAAGGCTTAAGCTAACACCAGGTAAATTTTGCTTTTACACACACACACGTGCGCGGGCACACACACACACATACACACATATATATATATATATATATATATATACTCTTCCATCGTATTCGAGGTATGATGGTCCCTAGGAATCGACAGCTCAGACGCCATGATTTGATTATAGTGGTGAAGGATTTGTGAAGAACCAACCACACATTTTTAAGGGACTAATACAGAGACCTGGTTCACTATATGCCATAAGGTCCCCAAATCTCCTCCGCAGGTTTTGGATTCAGAGTTTCCCTTCTCCTAGATCAGTTGCGATCCAAGGCTATCCTGCTATTTTACCCGTAGCTGGAGGGTATTAGCACGTTAGTGAATGTAATGGATTCGACTGGAATTCGAACTCGGCTCTCCTATTCCGAGCCGCTACCTCTCTCTCTCTCTCTCTCTCTCTCTCTCTCTCTCTCTCTATATATATATATATATATATATATATATATATGTACGAACAAAAAGATGCTGAGAATAGCATGGACAGGGCAGGCGAACAACGATGAAATTCGACGGACAACGGCTGTGAAAAGGACTCTTATGCTTAACATCAGGAAGTAACAGTTAAAAATTCTGCAGCACATAACGAGGGGGAGAAAGATAGTTTGGAAGTTACAAGATCTTCTGCAGAAAGTAATGAAGAAACGCGAGAAGAATGGACTAAACATTAATTGCCAGATGCCTAAATGCATGGCTGTTAGCAAAAGAGACATACCAACATGGAAAAGTACAGATTGGAGATAACGAAATGAAACAGGCGCACCAATTTAAATAAGCGAATCAACAGAGGACGGAAAGTGCGACAAGGAAATCCGAAGGTGCATTGGGATAGCGAAAGATGCTTTCTAGATGCTAAGCAAAGTATTAACATGAAAATATCGTTAGAATCAAATAAAAGAATACTGAACTGATATTAGTCCTCCTCTTTGGCAGTGAATGTTGGACAATCGCCTCACAGATGAATAATCACATAATAACAAAAATTAATATAAGGAAAAGACAATTAAAATTTTTTTGGCCAATAATAAGGAAAGAGGCCTTGGAAAACTTCATACCCACAGGAAAGATTGAAGGTAATAGGAACAAAGAAAAACAACGTATAAGCTACTTGGCGAGCCTGAATGAATGGTTGGTGGAGGAGATTTGGGAGAGATAGCAACAATACAAAGGTTATTAAGAGAAACAAAGGAATGAAAACAGTGGAGTGCCATGATCACTAACACCATGAATGGAAACGGAAGAAGAAGAAGAAGAAGAAGAAGAAGAAGAATGAGAAGAAGAAGAAGAAGAAGAAGAAGAAGGGTAAGGGATGTTGGACCTAAGTAATGTAGTTGTCAGATAATTTTCTTTGTAAATAGCGATAGAATAGCAAGAGGATTGCAAAGTTTCGTGTATTTAAATTTACAATGTCATTGTCTCGTGGCATGAATTGGCGTCTTTGTTCATGACTCTACATCTATCAGAAAAAGAGGTCAACATGAATGATTTGAAATTTAATGCTTAGCGGTCGGTATCAAAATTTGCCAAGCGTCTCATCTTTCGTTAGAGATCGTTTACCGATTAGATATCTGTAAACTTTCTAAATAGCCCCCTTTTTGAAATCTAAATACTGGACATGGAATTGAAAACTTTCTTTTTTACACTAGAAACTTTTGCAAACAGTTAATATTATCTGTAATCTTATTATCTTACTTTGAATATATATATATATATATATATATATATATATATATATATATATATATATATATATATATATATATATATATATATATATATATATATATATATATATATATATATATATATATCAGGCGGCCTGATGATTGCGTCTAGCATGAAACAACCTCTCACCTCTGAGTGTTGACTTCAATGTTCACTTTTTATATATATATATATATATATATATATATATATATATATCATTCCCAGATAGTACTGTTTCGTTGTATCACAGCTCCTCAGTGTGACTAGACATCCGAATGCCTCAAGATATATATATATATATATATATATATATATATATGCATGCATGCATATTTAGGCACTAGGTATTTACGACCCACTAAGACGAGTTGTGATACAAGGTCAGTTTTAAGCTGGGAGCCCGAGTGGTTTCATTGAGTAATATAGACTTTATCACAGTTACAATAAGTTCATCGTTGAAATTCAACCTTGAATATGATGAGGAATTTGAAAACACTTGGGTAAGAAAAAACTACGGCCTTTTTTCCTTGATGAATTTCATCTTAACGTCTAGAAACTGATTAGAGAACCGGAAAGGATCATTATAAAATAGATATAATATGTCTATATTATTCGGTCACACACACACACACACATATATATATATATATATATATATATATATATATATATATATATATATATATATATATATATATATTAATATATGTATTTATAGCTCAGTTATATAATATCGGGCACTGTTTCGATAACACCAGCACTTTGTGTGCTATTCATATATATATATATATATATATATATATATATATATATATCTTGTGTGTGTAATATATAAGTGTGTGTGTGTGTGCGTGTGTGTGGGTGTGAGTGTGTGCGTGCACAAACATGCATCATGTTGGTTTCTTAATTAACAACAAATTTTGATTTTTTTCAATAACAATATATTGGGGACATATTTAATCCTTTTGCAACAAAGCCCATGCCACTCTTTAGTCCTTACTAGTTTTTTGTTAGTACTCTTAGGGGCCTTATATAAGTGGCCTTAATAATAAGGCAGTCTGACCTTTTTGCAAATATGCAATGAACAATTCTCAATTAAAGAGGAGAGAGAAATTATCTCTAAGGTCAAAAAGTTTGAAATCAGTGTGGTCTCTAATAATATGTAATATCCGCCTTCCTAGTAAATAGCAGTGGATGCTGGACAATCTCCTCACTGATGAAGAGGCAACAGGCTTGTGAATTTACTGCAGAACGATGCTGAGTATATCATCGATGGAGCATGTGAGTAATGGGGAAGTTTAAAGGGAAAAATATAGAGTTGAAACTTCGGGAACACATAACGTGGAAAAAAAAAATTCTTTTTTAATTATTTCACACCGAGCAAGGAAAAAAAAAGGCCACTAAGATGCAAGGGATTACTAAATGTGAAAGAATATGAGAAAAGGAAAAACACTATTAAGGAGAAAGAACATTAAAATAAAATAATTAAGACAGAAGATAACGATTGACATTGCAATTAAATTTTTGAATAAATAAAGATTTTAATAGTCACTTGACATGTTAAAGTCAACAACAGGGACGTCCAACCCGTAGCTCGCGGGCCACACTGCGGCCCAATTAATATTTTCATGCAGGCCCACTGCACCCTAAAAGCTTTTATTCAATTTAGTAACGTATGTCGTGAAAAGTATTCTTAGATTGTGCTAGTAGGGTCACTTCCACAGTGAAAAGGCCTTTACCGAGTCAACGCTAACTGGAAATTATTTAGCTTCTCTAAAAAACTGCTATGCATGTAGAGTAATACATACGTTTGTGAACAATTCTTTGCGTGCATGAAAAATATCAAAACTGTTGAAAGAAAGAAATTAAGTGATTTCCATTTAACTAGCATTCTTAGAATAAAAAACTAGTGTCATAAAAGCAGATATGGTTTTATGCTTTTGTTTTTTACCTCAGATTGCGTATTTATGGGGAGATTAGTCAAAAATCACATTGATTCTATTTTATTTTGTCTATGTATATTTTCATTTTTTTTTATTCACAATAATACAGCATAATTGGCAAGTACCCCCTTTCAACAATTGGCAAATACCCCTTCAACAATTGGCGAATACCCCACTTCAACAATTGGCAAATATTCCCCCCCCTTCAACAATTGGTAAATCCCTACCTTCAACAATTGGCAACCGTTGGTTTTTGAGAGCGTCAAATTTTGCAACCGGTACGTATCCACATATTTACATAGGTTTAATGATTGTTGGTTGGTTGTTTTTGTTTAGCGGCACACCAACACTTCCATGAGTCATTTAATGACGAAAATTAAATATTTTGTACGCGATTTTGTTAGGTGAGATAGTAAAGATTTCAATGATATAAGTTTTACTAATTAACCCATAGCTGGGGGTGAAGAGATGGCTTCATACTTTTCCAAAGGGTATTTACGCGTAAGTGAATATAACGAACCCAACTGGAATTGGAACTCGGCTCTCTGATTAACAATTCCGAAGTATTAGACATTACACCACCTGAACAAGCAAGCTCGCAACACCTGGTATTCTCAAGAGGTTACCCATCTAGGTACTGATCAGGCTCAACGTTTCTTAACCTTGCTGATCTTGTAGAAACCGGTGTTTCAACGTGATGCGACCGTAAGACGTAAATTGAATAAAATGGCTTGGTTTATTTTGCTTTATTTTGCTTGAGGGTGTATCAACCTCAGTGGCTTATTTAATACCGACAAGATTAGGAAAGGTTCGTAAAAATAGAATATGTATTAATATTTTTTTAAAAAAATGTATTGCTGGTAATTTTTTTTTCAAATAATATATTGCTGGTATTTTTACTATAAAAATCTATTTTTATATATTCATAATGTTTTGACACCAGTTTTTTTTGGGGGGGTAACTGTTTACCCAAAGCTGGGACCCTAACAAGTGCTACCACCACGAGTCAGGGTGGACCTGGGAGAAACAGTAATCAAAAAGTGGTTTAATTTACCTCAAAACCTCCCAATCAGAGACATTGCTGTCGGGTGTAGTTTATCGTCATACCCAGGACGTGAATGAAATGACCTGTATAATAAAAGAAATATACAGGGTGAGTTAAAATTATATTAACACTAGTATGTGAGGAATCATTTATTCAGAATTTACTGAACAGTCTTCACCTGTCCATCAGCACGACTGATGTACAAAAACCACGGGTCACGAGTACAATTTAGTGCCTTGACGTTTCACGGGGAATGTTTGATATCACACCTTTTGTTCTGTCCTTGACTTCTTCGATATCTCTAACTTTTTTTTACTATACACCCGATCCTTTATCATACCTCATAACCAGAAGTCACAGGATGTAATTGGCGGATATTTCTTTACAACTCCAACGGTGACTGTAAATGCTTACTTAATAATGCTACAAAAGTTTTCCATTGATAACATACCATTATAAATCAGAGGAGCAGGATATTTCAAACAGGATCGTGCACAGCCACTTTTTTCCCGTGTTGTTCGAGCTTGTTTCCTAAATCGTTGGATAGGTCGTGTCTACCACACTCCCCTAATCTGATACCTTGTGACTTTTGTATTAACATACTTTTGACTCACTCTGTATATTTATAGCATGCACCAATACACCAAAACAACATATTTGAGGTTTTGTAAATATGGATCTAAAAGCAGCGCTGAATTAGACAATGATCAATTATTGCAAATAATAGGAGAAAATTATATTTCAATCAATGGAGCGATAAAGTTTGAATATCAAACAATAAACATGCAGTATATGGATAAATTGTATTTATTGGTCATGACAATCTATATGTTTTCTGACTAATCTGATAGGCAGTTTAAAATAAGTTTTTATCAATGTCATTACGATAACACAAGCTAACCGTTGAGTAAATAAGAGATTTAAAGATAGGTCCATATAACAAAATCTGGAAGATGACACTAACATTTTGCCTGGACTTGTTTCCAGACATGTTGACGCGTGTGAAGACAAATGCACATGAACAGTCAAGCTTGCACACTTTATTTACGAAAGTTCATATCATATGATTGACAACAAAAAGAGATATACAATGCAACAGTCTAACTGATTGTTAATTAAGCGCTGACAGTTAAACAGGGACCAATATGCACTCACATTTTGTTATCTATCACCTTATGCATACATGTACCGTGTACCTTCAAGAGATAGGCGATCAAGGCCCTCCACATTTTCCTGCCCCTTGTAGCTTTTAATAAATTTTCTCTTTTTGTTCTCTCTACCAAACCCTATATCATTTACTCAAGCTCATCAAGTACGTAACGAACTGCTTTCCTATTTCCCTCTTTTCCTTTAACTCTCCCGTGAGTATCAGGTTTTCCAAGCCTTCCTTCCTCATTACGTGGCCCAGAAATTTCAACTGTCTCTTCCTGATGTTAAGTTTCCTTTTTGTTTCCATGTTCACCAAAAACTCGTTGTTGCTCACATGCTCACATTGTATCCTCAGCATCCCTCTGTAGAACCACATTTCTGTTGCTTCAAGTCTTTTCTTCATCTTTGAGGACATTGTCCAGCATTCGTTACCATACAGGAGGATAGATATCCCGTAACAGTTCAATACTCTTCTCTTTGTTTCTGTCTTTACATACTCTAGAGCGGCTAAAAGAAAAAATGTCATGTCCCGATTCACTTCTCAGAATCTGGCTAGATTAACATTCATTTGCTTTCATGAATTTTTGGTCGGGCCGGAAACATGTCAGTACAACATGTCGCAAGCCTCTTGCTGCTCTGTCGTTATTTCCATGGAAAGTCCTCAGACGAAGTACATCTCTTGGTTCCACAAGTTCTAACCTTCCCGCCTATAACCAGCCATGCTACGCACATTTTTGGGTGGGGGCGCACCCTCATTCCCTCCGTATTCCTTCGGTGAGATGCAAGTTCCACTCGAGGAGCTTCTTCCCGCGAACCACTGCCCTGTGGAACAGACTCCCTAGAGGATGCTTTCCTAGATCACTACAATCTTAATCTGTTCAAGTCTAGGGTTAACCGTTATCTTCCCCACCTCTTCGCATAAACTGTGTCTCTTACGCTGTAACTAGAGAGGTTCCCGAGACTCGTAAATGCTGAATCTCACTTTTTTTAAAAATCCAATCATATATTTCCAAAGAATAGCATGCACACACACGCAAATACACACACACATACATACACACGCACACACACACACACACACACACACATATATATATATATATATATATATATATATATATATATATATAATATAATATATATTTGGGGATATTTGTGATTTGGTTTGGTTTGTTTTGTTTCACGGCATATCAACCTCAATGGGTTATTTAATGCCGACAACATTTTTTATTCCTGGTAAAGTTTTGTTTTGTCAAAAATCTGTTTCTGGTAATATTTTTCTTTCAAAATTGTATTGCTGGTAATAATTTTTTTCAAAAAAGTATTGCTGGTAATAGTTAACTATTTGCCCATAGCTGGGACCCTAACAGGTGCTACCACCCCGGGTCAGATAGGATCTGGGAATACATGCAGAGGCCTTGCTGCTGGATGTAGTTTATCATCAGGACGTGGATGTAGTTTAATGTCTTATCCAGAACGAATTTGTGAGGGGGTGATGTATGTATTATTTTAATTGCCTGTTTTGATCAGAAAATCGTGCAAAATGTTGGGGATAAAGTATTTAAAGGTATAGTGTAAACATAGCAATGAGGAAAAATGCAATGTTGATTCCACATACCCTCTTTCTTTTTCTCAGGGAGGTGCCGTCTCGGTTATCAAGATATGCTGTGCCTAACCAGAATAAAATAAATCAGCAGTTATATTTCCTCCTGTCGCACAATATGCACCAAATCCAACAAAATTATCATTATTATGCATAAAATGCAAAATAGTTATTTTTCTGAGATTTTCTACATAAAGGTCACAAGCTGCCTACCCTGAGTAATTACTGACAGTACCTAAATTATATATATCCATATATATATATATATATATATATATATATATATATATATTACAATATGTTGTAATGGAATGTCTCTTATTCCCTATCGTCTATGTGGACAGAATATATCAATAGCTATATATAGTGAGCATAGTATATAACTGTGAGTTTGCTTCGGCACTTAGTTGGAGATTCGTCTCCAGTTAAGCTAGTCGAACTCTCTGCCTTTGGGCGGAGAGGAACCCAGACAAAGCTATGCCGAAGGGCAGAGTCTGGTCTGAGGTGGTAGACAGCTACCCGACCCCGTTTACGTGGTCTACGGGGAATTTTTGCCCGAGTCTACGGGCTTGGATACCCCACGTTAAATTCGGCTTGTGCCACATCTGACGGCGTTGGGCGGTTTGCAAATATCCTTGCGTCGGGAATTAGTTGGAGATTTGTCTCCAGCTATGCTGGTCGAACTCTCTGCCTCTGGGCAGAGAGAAACCCAGACGAAGCTTGGGTGGCAGACAGCTACCCGACAGCGTTTTTTTACGGGGTCTACGGGGAATTTTTGCCCGAGCCTCCTGGCTCGGTTTTGACCCGCATTAAAAACGGCTTTGTGCCACATGCTACCTCACCGGGGTAAGATAAATAACCTTTGCTTCGGAAATTAATTAGAGTTTCGTCTCCAGCTATGCTTGTCGAACTCTCTGTCTTCGGGCAGAGAGGAACCCAGTCGAGGTGATGCTGAAGGGCAGAGTCCCATCTGGGGTTGTAGACAGCTACTCGACTCCGTGTATACGTGGTCTCCAGGGAAATTTTGACCGAGCCTACGGGTTCGGTTTTGCCCCCCATTAAAAAACAGCCTTGTGCCATGTCCTGCCTTGCGGGGAGGTAAGGTAAATATCCTTGATTTGGGAATTACAAACCTGCCACCCGATTCCCTCTTTTACAGTAGTGTATTCTCTTTTACAATAAACCTCTCTTTCATCTACACGCCTGTTGCTGTTCCTTCATTCGAATACCACCTTTGTTTGTTTATGACCTCTTTAAGGATACAACAAGATACACACACACACACACACACACACACACACACACACACACACACACACACACACACACACACACATATCTGATTCGCGGAGCAGGTTTTCGTTCTGATCAGTTGAACATCTCGATGTTCATGAAATAAAAATTATAAACGAAATGTATAATTAAAGTCTTCGTCTTCTTATTATCATATATATATATATATATATATATATATATATATATATATTATGAAATGGACAAAGTCCGACAATTATTTTAAGACATTTTTATGTCTATACATTCTTTTTATAGATACAAATATTTAAGTAAATGCTCTGTTTATAATAAACAGTATTAATAACATTTACCGGCCTGAATGTCCCAGAAATTTTCATAGAAAATATTCGTTTTCCGTATAAAAATAAAAATGTCTTAATATATATATATATATATATATATATATATATATATATATATATATATATATGTGTGTGTGTGTGTGTGTGTGTGTGTTCGTGTGTGTCTGTCAGCAACCCTGTTCGTGTATTCGATGCTGTGCTCTTTATATTATCACGAGTCTCATGTTAATATATATCCTTAATAAGTTTGATATAGAACAATATGAAATCATTTGAACGTTTCACTTTATTTAAGCTTTGGAATGCTATGAAC